AAATTTTATTAATAAAATTTATAAGTCTTTTTCCTAAGTCACAATTTGCAATTTATATCCAAGTTTCTTTTACTAGATTGCTAGTACATGTATATATCATTAAGCTGTATCCATTATCATTTCATTATTGTTATTATAGTTGATTATTTGTTAACGAATAAACATTTGATAACAATCTAAAACAATCTAAGAGTTACTAAATTCCTACTTATTAATCACCAAAATCAACTAATTTTTTACTGGCTTCTTCTTAAGCCCCGTCCCACCCGGCCCTTTCTCTTCTCTGCATTCACCAAACTCTGTCCGTTGGTCCAGTGCAGCCAGCAGCTTCTACCAGAGAGAGGTTTTAGCCAGTGGATTCCTCCCGAGCGCCTGTCTTGCATCGGGTAGCCTTGGCAGGTTCATTTCTGTAGAGGTCCACTGTGGAGCAGTGCTCTGTGGTGCCCTGTCCCACCCGGTGGTGGTTCTTCTTCTGCCTGCTGGGTTCTCTGAAGCCGAGAGAAGCCTTGGAAGGAAGTGGCCTTTCAGTGCCTGGTTCATGATAGCAGGCAGGCTCCGGCCTTTAACTGTTGCCGATGATCTCCTTGCTGCTCTCTGTGCTTGTTGTTTGCCCAACTGAGCCACCTGATCACCGTAGTAGTGAGTGTGGGGTGGGCTCCCTGTTTGTAGACCACCCTTTGCCCAGCCAGCCTTGGAGGGCCGATGGGCTTCTCCTGGTGGTGCCTTGATGAAAAGTGTTTTCTGCTTGAGTGTTTAACCGCCTGGTGTGTTTAACCCTGCTGCTGCTTCTTCCAGGGTGGGCTGTTGGAGAGCGGGGGGGGGGGAGGGTGTTCTTTTGGTCCCCTTCCTGGCTTTTTAATTGTCTCTCTTGAATGGTGTGCAAAAGTGGGCTTACATCTTCGCCTCGGCAGGCTCGGTCTGCAACACAGACCGGATCTGAGGAGAGGAAGGGCCCCTGGAAGGGCCCGGAAAGGGACCCGTTGTCAGTGGGTCCCGCTGTTTTGTGTGCAATGCTGGCAGGTGCGGGATGACACCTACAAGATGGTCCATGGGCTGCAGACGGAAGTGCAGGGCTACCGGTTGTACATCACCAAGGAGTCCCCGTACCAGCAGCGCCTGGAGTTCGAGAGGCTGCAGTGCCGCTTGCGAGAGGCCGAGTCCTGGCTGCAGATGCTGGGGACCCTGGCCATGCTGGTGAACTTCCTCATTTGCCAGACCCTCATCTCCGTGATGCACCAGGAAGCCTCCAGCTTTGTCAATTTTACCATGCAGGTCTGCCTCAGGGAACACGGAGGGCAGAGGAATTGGGGACGAGACCCCCATATGTGCGTGGGGGGGGGGAGAGAGAGATGGAGTAAAACCTCCCGGGAAGCCCCCTTCTTCGGCTTCCAGGACCAAAGAGCATCTGTGTTCTCACCTGCCTTTTGACCTCTTCCCTTGCAGGCCGATGGCTCCACCCAGAAAGCCGTCCTCCGGGTGCAGCTGGTGTTCAGTGCGGACAATCAGCTCGTCGTCTTTCCTTCCAGCGGGGAGCTGGAAGACTGCCTGTTGGGGGCTCTGCAAACAATGGTGGAGACCGTCCTGGAGGTGGGCTAGGGCGGTCCTTGTCTTTCTGGCCCAGTGTCTCCCGTGTGCCCCCCCCCCCGGTCGCCAAGCAGGATGGCTCCCGAGGGGTGTCCGGGATGGGGCTGTGGGTTCTGACGTGAACTGGCTTCAGCCCACAACGTTCCTGACTTTCTGTGCCCTGCAGACCACCCGGGTTAAAAGTGAGAAGGCAGAAGCTCAAGCAGGCCCCAGGACCCCTGAAACAGAGCGTCCGCCCTCCCAAGCAGGTGGGGAGCCACAGAGCCTGTGGGAAGAGGGCCTGGGGGCAGCAGGGTCTGGTTCTGGGCCAGGAGCAGAGACGCCCCGGAGGGAACCCTTCTGCTCGGGGGCACAAAAAGGGCCGCGTCCTTTTCAGCTCCAGAGAGATGAGGAGCGCTTGGGCTGGCCTGGGCTGGCCTGGTTCTCCGGGGCCTCCCGTGTTTCAGTCCTTTGTCCAACCCATCGCTTTAAGATTTCTTTCTAGCTGCCTTGCCCAAAACGAGCCTTTTTAGCAAACAGCCGTTGGGTCCTCCCTTCCTCCCCTTAAAGCTGGAGACGTGGCCCCCGCGGCCCCTGGGGATGATCAGATCTCCCGGCTGCGTGAGCAGCTGCAGCAGATGTCGCTGACGGTGCTGTGCAGCGATAAAGCCCAGCTGGTGCATCGTTTGGACCTGAAGGCCTGCAGTGGGCTTCAAGTGGTGGGCCACCGGCTGCGGGCAGAGTACCCCTTGATGTCTCGTGAGCAGCTGGAGACCGACCTGCACACAGACAGCATCATCCAGGCGGCCATGGCTAAACTTCAGGACCTCTTCATGGTGAGTCTAGTTCGAGGGCCTCTGCTGGCCCCTCCACCTAATTCGGCAATGTTTTCCTGCTGCCCCCTGAGGAATTTGGGTTCCAGCAAATTGAAGGGATGGGACTCTCGAGCGGCTCCGCCTCCCAGCCGCCTCTGGCAGGAGGGAAGGCGGCCTAAAGCAGCCCCTCCGTAAAGGGAGGCGGCAGGAGTCATCAGCCCGGGAGATGAGATGAGAAGATGCTGCATTGGGGGTTTCCTCAGGTTCTGGGCCCACAAGAGAGATGAAAGTGAAGGGATGGGAAGAGCGGGGGAGGGGCAAGTGTGTCCCAAAGAGAAGGAGGAGGGGCTCCTGCCCATCAGGGACCACCTTCCGACTCTGGCTCACTGGCTGCCCAGAAACACAGGAGGCCTCCCGACAGTTTCCTACCTGTTCGGCTCAGGTCCTCCTCCTCAGCCCCTCCTCCGTTCTGGCAGCCCAGGGAGGCAGCCTGGGAACGCAGGGAAGTGGGAAACGGGCTCTGCCAATTGTGTCAGTGGGAGAAACATTTGCTTTCTGAAGCTGAGAATTGTAGAGTTTGAAGAGAGCGCTGGCCCTGCTCCCTGGACACCCAAAGTGGTCAAAGAGGAAGTAAAAGAGGAGGAGGAGGAGGAGAATCTAGCCCTTCAAGAGGTGCAATCAGGACTACTAGCTCTGTGTACAAATGGCCGAGTGGGTAGTGTTGTGTCCAGGTACCGAGCAAGAGTTACCTAAGAGCAGAAGGCCCTCCACAGCTTCCTTCGAGGCGTCAGGCTCTTGGGAATCTTCCCATCCCATTCCCCAGGGCATCTTTCCTCGGTTGACTAGGTGGCCAACCGGATGCCCTCCGCAGCCCCCGCTTTTTCCTTTTTGGAGCCCAGGCAGGAGTCCTTTGTTGACCCTGTCCGGTGGTCTTCCTGGGGGTGTCAGGTGTGACTTCATTTAATAATCAGGAAAGAAACCACTCAACTCCATTTGTTTGAAATTAAGTGTACTTTTACTAATTAGAAATGAACAGTAGCGAAGCTAAGCTGAATCTGGTTACTTAGGTGCAAAAGCAAAGAATTTCATGTATAATTCAATCCCCTCCCCAGCACCCCAGTTCATAGTCCAATTATAATTCACCCAACTGTCAGGTGGGAGATGTCTTCAAAAAAACATCACCAGGATGGAATGCTGGACCGTTAGCCTTGGCGGGAAACTCCCTTCCTCCACATGCGCAGTAAGATGGTCAGGCAGCATCTAGAATCTTCCTCCGGCACATAACGATTCCCCTCCCAAATACCATGCCCCCCCTCCCCCCGTTTCAATGGCAGCCGAAGCAGCAGCAAAGCAGAGGCTGACGGGGGGCGTGAGGCTTGTGGCCGCTGCTTTTCATCCAGGGGTCTAGGATGGAGATGAGAAAAACAATGTCAGTGGGGACCCCTTTCCTGAAGCTCTGCGGATGGGAAGTCTTCTTGGCAGGTTTGAACCCGTGCCACGCTCCTTCCTTCCCCTCTCCTCTCAGCATTTTTGGCTTCTCAGCACAGTCTCCCAGCGTTCCCTGAGAAGCTGAGAGGCTCTTTTCCAAGGGGGCAGCCAGATGCCCTTCCGTTCCTTCTCCTCAGGGAAGCCCCACACAATAGCGGCTCCTCTGAGCAGCTCTCCCCCTGCCTGCTCACACCTGTGGGGGCCCAGCGTCCACCCTCTGTCCAGGCGACCTCTCCGTGGGCCTCCTTTGGGGGGACGGGGGCTTTGGCTCCCCTCCTGAGCTCCGGGCAACAGTGAGCAAAGGAGCTCCTTCCCCCTTCAACAAGGGGCTTTGGCTGTAGGTTCATAGGTGACCAGTCTGGAGTTAGGTACAGAAGGAATTATCAATGGTTTGCCTCTGCACAAATACACCCAGCCCACCTCCCCAAAAGGAATTGGCGCAGGAACCGAGGGAGACGCCTGGCTCCGGCTTTGGCATGCAGGAGGCCTTCCTTCCCCACTGAAACCCCCCCCCCCTTCCGCTGGGAGAGCCTCTCTCACCCGAAGAGCCTGGCCGAGCGCTCCGTCTCCCCACAGGCTGGGCTGGCAGAGACACAGCTGCTCTGCCGAGAGTACTCTTGGCTCGGCCATATCTACCAGTACGTGCACAGCTGGAGCGACGGCCAGCTGGAGAGCATGAAGGGGCTGCCGGCAGAAGAGTACGTGAATCAGATCCTCAAGTTGCGCACCTGGGCGGTCCAGGTGCAGAAGGTGCCGCTGGTGGTCATCACCTTCAACCGCTTCTTCCTGGTGGACTGCAGTGGCATTCTTCAGGACATCCGTAGGTGTTTCCTGGGGTGAGGGGAGGGAGGGGGCCTCTCGTGCTGCTGGCGCCCCTGAGCCTGCCTTCCTCTCCCCCCCCCCNAAGGCTGAGTCAACCTTGAGCCGGTGAGATTTGAACCGCTGAACTGCAGATAACAGTCAGCTGAAGTGGCCTGCAGTACTGCATTTAACCACTGCACCACCTTGGCTCTAAGTCTTCATGGCTCTTATAAAGAACAGCAAAATAGGGACTGGAAAATAATAACAAACACAAATCATACAAGAAATCTCACTGTGAAGCACGGAGACACAAGTGCAGTGCAAAACGAGGGCTTCATTGCTACTTTATTCATTTTAGAGAAGATTGTAATAAGCTCTTTTATTTGGGCCTGCCCTCCAACCAGAATTTGTCTGCTTTCCTTCCTCCTCTGACAAAAATATTGCTGAACTCTTCCTACTCTTTGGCCTCATATCTTTCTTCCTTTTCTGTTCCTCCCTCTCTGTCATCATATACTTCTCCCTTTCCTTTTGGATTTTAAATGACTTTGCTTTGCTACTGTTGATTTCACTGACCCTTGTTCTCACCCTACTTTGTGGCTTTGGCAAATCTCCACGAAATCAGAAGGAAATGACATTCAAAAAGTACAGGGGAGTGATCATCCCATTCTTGACAGTTGCCCTTTAGAAAAATGTTTTGCTGCTGATAACCCAGAACATCTCTAAGCATTCAATAAGCCAATGAAATCACACCGTGAAAAGAACTCTTTCTTCACTTCAAGCCTCCAAAGATGGAGTTGAACTTTAAAAAGCCTTGATAGCTTTTTTTTTTAACTTCAGTCTGCCTCTGAAGATCCTTTGCTAAAGCTCATATTCTTTAATGTGGCTGGGAAAATATTGGGGAGGGGAGGGGAAGGCATGAAATCCTCCTCTCTGGTTTTTATATTATTAGCTTTTTTGGGGGGTAACCACCAAGTGTCTTTTGCTTGGAGTTGCCATATAGGACTTGAATGGATTGTAGCATAAAATGGCACATTACTCTGGAAAATGCACGGGAGAATAACTCTTACGTGTGAATGATGTCACTTGTCCATAGTCTTTTCAGAACACAAACAGATATAGCAATAGCAATAGCAGTTAGACTTATATACCGCTTCATAGGGCTTTCAGCCCTCTCTAAGCGGGTTTATACAGTCAGCATATCGCCCCCAACAACAATCCGGATCCTCATTTCACCCACCTCGGAAGGATGGAAGGCTGAGTCAACCCTGAGCCGGTGAGATTTGAGCAGCCGAACTGCAGAAATGCAGTCAGCTGAAGTAGCCTGCAGTGCTGCACCCTAACCACTGCGCCGCCTCGGCTCTGTTGAAGGTCCCATGTGATTTCCTCTGAGGGGAACCACAAAACACGGCGG